GATCTGTCATGGAGCAACCTCATAGAAGAAGATAAGAGTGGTTACCCAGAACACTGTTGGTTGTGAAGGGCCCCCAAAATGTAGGTACATCACCGAGCTTTGCCACTGGACCAAAGAGGTCTAGCAAAAAGAAGGGCCGGGCTGGCTCGTGATCTCCCGCATGTTGTGTGATCCCTGGAAAACAGCTTGCGTCGGATCGTGCCACAAGCGGTTCAAAATGCCAGCTATTTCTGTGTCTCGATGGCCTCCTCCCTGCGGACTGCCAGCGGTAAGGCCACTCCTTAAGCACGTCACGGACCTTGACAACCCTATTTGGGTCACCGGTGTAAGGCCATTTGACGGCACACAACCACACACAGTTAATTAACGAGGTAACGGTGGATCGTCAAGCACAGAGGAGGGCTTTGTTGGGAAGGCTTTTGGGGGTGTCTGCTCCTTGAGCTCAGGCAGGCGGCCGAGGCCGAAACCGACTTAAACTTTAGACAGATTCTATCTCTGGCGCTCTTTATGCGCCTTGTCCTTAACAGCGCTTGACCCCTGCTGCAATCAACGAAGTTGTGCCAGAGATTATTTTGCTCACAATGGGGCCAATACAGAGGCAAAGCTGGCCTCCGGGCTGGGTGTTGTTGGGCACTTTCCAAGCCTTGCTTCATCACGGGACAGGCTGCCAAAGCATGAAGCCCTTGGACCCCCTGATGCTACTGTTCTTCCCCCCCCCCCCCGCAATATACACTCTCTGTTGCCCTTCCTGCCAGTTCTCTGGCCTTTTCTGAATAAGTGAAGCATGAGCAGAGCAACATGCAGGAAGCTCAAGAAGAAAGACTACCCAGACTAGGTTGTTGGCAGGCTTGTCTTTGCCCCTGCAAGCCATTGAGCAGAGGTGGCCTGGGCCTGGTGGCACACCTTCTTCGCTGCACAGACAACAAAATGGTGCCTCTTTCAGCACAGGCAACAAAATGGTGCCTCTTTCTTTCTGCAGAGAGGACAAAGTAGACCCTCTCCCTTTCTACACAGGCAACAAAATGGCACCAATTCCTTTCTGCAGATGCAACAAAATGGTGCCCCTTTACTGCACGAGCAACAAAATGGCGCCAGTTCCTTTCTGCACAGACGACAAAATGGCTTCCCTTCCTTTCTGCACTGACAACAAAGTACACCCTCTCCCTTTCTACACAGGCAACAAAATGGCATCATTTGCTTTCTGCTGATGCAACAAAACAGTGCCCCTTCCTTTCTTCACAGGCAACAAAATGGTAGACTGCCAAAACAAAAACAAAATGGAGCCCTTGGACCTTGCTGCTGCTCTCTCTCTCTCTCTCTCTCTCCTTTGCCCTTCCTGCCACTTTTTATTGCCTTCCCTGAGTAAGTGAATCATGATCAGAGCAAGATGCCAGAAAAGCCGTCCCTATTCACTCTGCCGTCTCTCCCTTTGCCTGGCCACGCTGCCTGGGCCCCTAGAAGGAAGGGAAACGCGGGGGGCAAAGGTGAAGGCGAACCCAGGAAGGCTGTGCAGGGCAGATTCCACGGCCTTGATCTTCTGCCCAAATGAACCCAACTCAGAGTAGGAAAGGCAGAGCACGAGAAGAAAGCCGACCCAGACTAGGGTTGCCTGTGCGCCTGCAAACGATGGAGCAGAGGAGGCCTGAGGCTGGTGACTCAGCAGAACGTCTGCCATCCTGGGAGGAGCTGAGGCTAAATTAGTCACAGGGCTACCCTCCAGACGTGCGGTGGACCTTCTAGCGCTGAACGAACTCAGCCCTGAAGAGATAGCAGTCGAATTGTTCACCCTGCTAGGTTCAAAATCATGTTTTCCATGGCTTTTGAATTTATTTTAAAAAGAGCCCTGGAACTGGATGAGGCCAAAAATCTGTCGATCTCATCCAGCATCCTCGTTCCCACTGTGGTCCACTGGGAAGCAAAAGGAAGGGGATCAGCCATCTGTCATGGTTGTTCCTCAACTGGGGAACAGTGTCGCTCTTCTGATTAGTCCCATCAAGTCCTCCTTGTGGGCTCCCCATAGGTATCAGGTTAGGAACACAGGAAACTATCCTAATCTGGATCAGACCATGGATCTGTCCCACCAAATGTTCTCAGACTCTGCTGTTCTCCAGACTTTGGGAAGGATTCTGTCAAAGCCCTACCTGAGGATCCCTAGTATTGCCAGCTGGGTCCGCATCTGGGGAATAACCAGACATGACTTTGCGTGGCTTCCAAAATCAGACATGATGGATAACCTCAAGATGGTAAAGATCTTGACCACCATGGGCGTAGAGGACTTCCAGTTTTGGTTTCTCCAGGTTCGGCTTTTAAATATCTCCAAGTCTTTCTTTCCTGAACAGGATGTTCTATGCTAGGTTTGGCAAATCTTGGTCAAAAGTAAAGAAAGAAAAAGAATTGAAATGAAATGATAATAATTAGAACACAGAGCTGGAAGGGACCTCATGGAAAGTCCAATCCCTGTCAGGAAGGCCCAACGGGGAATCGAACTCCCAACCTTTGCAGCCAGATGCCTAAACCACTGAGCTATCCAGCAGTCTTTCTTGTCCTCACATGGATATTGTTGTCCCAGCCACCCACAAGGCGGGCGTATGGCTAAGTAGGGTTAAGACTAACCAGGTTTTGCTTTGAATCAAGGATTTTAACCTGCTTCAAACCATGGTTAAAGCTAGCAGGCGGAAAGCAAAGAGGGAATTTCTCAATGGTTGGAGCAAAGGGTGCACCGTTGTGCCATCTGCTCCCTTCATCATGGCTGAAACACAGGTCCCTTTGCTCCCTACGAGCTCTAAGAATAGCCGTTTTCAACCTTAGACGAAGCCGCGCACCCTGCCTGAAAAGCCGGGAGGTTTTCCTACCAAATACACCCTGATGCCTTTACATTTCGGATCGGACGCTTCAGAGTCAAATGCAGTTTACTGAAAGGTTTCAAGATACAGGCCAACGGCTTTGAATTTGATGCACAACTCTTCCGCCAAGCCCGATGAAATAAAAATAGGATCCCTTCTAGAAAGGCAAAGCAGACTGCGACAACTCACACACATCAATATAAAGCACATGGCTGTTGGCTATTTAAGTAATTTGGGAGTGTCTGATGTCAGCTCCTTCCCGTAAATAAAATACTTGTGTGACATGGAACACTTGGTCTCTTGCCAATTGGCTCCGGTGGGCTTCCTCCCCTGCTTGGGTTTCATTCATTCACAAGTGAGCGGTGTGACCTATTAATGCAATGGGAAAAGAAAACAAGGGAGATAGTTTGGTGTGAACATTTGGATCTTTTGGAAGCGAGCTTCGTCTCTTTTCAGAGGAAATGCTTGGTTCAATTCTTCTTCATATGGGGGAAAAATATCAGAGGAACAGATGCAGTTGCTATTGGATTAAAGGCGTGTTGTGAAATATTCTGAATGAGTTGCTCTGGAGCAGCCGTAAATTAGACTGATCTGTTCAAGGCCAGGTCTCCCAACGGGTGTACGAAATGTCTGGTCTTTCGGCAAAAATGTGGCCAGATACATAACCCGCTTTTAAGTCTTTAAATAAATGCAAGTTCATATTAAACATGAATTGCTGGAGAGCTCAGTGGTTTGGGTATCAAAGGTTGGGCGTTCGATTCCTCACTGTGCCTCTTTGACAGGGCTGGGCTTGGCGATCGATAGGGCCCCTTCCAGCTCTGCAGTTTTAAGATTCTTATTATTTAACTTTCTTAAGTAGCATCGATTTAAGAAGCCAGAGTAGACAGTGATGAGTATTCAGATCAGACGGCAACAACAAAAGGATAACAGCGATACCACGCTACAAATAAGTACATAATCTATGTAAAACACTCAACACAGCCCATACAATGAACCCCTTTTTAGCAGACATGTGTAAAATTCTGCTGTTAATTTACACGGTCAATGGATTACACAAAGATTGGTTTGGTTGAATTTAGGTCTCATGGGAAATTAACATGCCTCGTTGATTTCATTCAGGAGGTACCATGTTCAACTAATTGAGCTCTTCCAAACCACTCTGTTTAGAGTATTGTGGCTGAAACCCAATGCCCTTATTTATTTATTTATTTATTTATTTATTTGTTTGTTTGTTTGTTTGTTTGTTTGTTTGTTTGTTTATT